CACAGCCTCCTGGTGGTGGCCGTCTTCTCCGAGAGGAGCTACTTCACCCTCTACCTGTGCCTCGGCTGGGGTGAGTGCAGGCGGGCTGGCTCCCCGTCCCCCAGCTCCATCCCCCTGTTGTACCTCATCTGCCCCCTGCCGCCTTCCCTCCAGGGGCGCCCATGCTGTTCCTCATCCCCTGGGTCGTCGTGAAGTTCCTCTACGAAAATATCCAGTGAGTATCAGCCCCTGCAGCAGGCAGTGAGCGGTGCCTGTGGGCATGCGTAGATGGGCGGGTGCGTGTGGGACACGTTGAGGGATGGTGGGGACAGTGTGACAGCCCCAGAGAGGCTCCACGCCATCGCCCTGTGCAAGGAGCAGGGTGTCAGGCTGTGGTGCTCGCTCGTCTGGGACTGCCGACACCATGGCAGGCTCTGGCAGCTGCCCAGTCAAGGGGCTGCCCAGCAGTCCCCCTCCCACCCTTCTGCAGGTGCTGGACCACCAACAACAACATGGGCTTCTGGTGGATCCTTCGATTCCCCGTGTTCCTGGCCATTCTGGTGAGTCCGGGGCTGCGGCTCTGCCCACTGCAGCCCCTCGCACTGTGTCTGCGAGGGTCCCATGCCTGCTGCCCTGAGCCTCATGGCTCACTCCACTCCACTGCAGATCAACTTCTTCATCTTCATCCGCATCATCCAGATCCTCGTCTCCAAGCTCCGCGCGCACCAGATGCGCTACACTGACTACAAGTTCAGGTGGGTGGTGGGTGCAGCGCTGGCCCCGCATGGCCGTGGTGCACAGGCTGGTGCACGTGTGTGTGTGTGTGTGTGTGTGTGTGTGTGCACCCACCCCGCCACCCCGGCGCTGACCGGACACTCGCCGCACAGGCGGGGGGCGCCCACACTGACACTGATCCCGCTGCTGGGCATCCACGAGGTGGTCTTCGCCTTCATCACGGATGAGCACGCCCAGGGCACCCTGCGCTACGTCAAGCTCTTTTTCGACCTCTTCCTGAGCTCCTTCCAGGTGAGTCCAGCTCCACACAACGCCCTCCATGGAGACCCTCTGTCTCAGGAGGGGCTAGACCAGGGTCGGGGTCAGGGTCTGACCACATGCCTCTCTCTCTGCCCAGGGGATGCTGGTGGCCATTCTCTACTGCTTCGTCAATAAGGAGGTGAGCGGGACGGCATGGGAGCGGGCAGCCAGGGGAGCTCAGCCAGCGGGCATGGGGCCGTGGTGACGATGGCTGCTCGCAGGTGCAGGCAGAGCTGCTGAAGAGGTGGCAGCGGTGGAAGCTGGGGAAGGACCTAGCAGAGGAGTACAAGCACACCTACAGCCATGCGCCCAGTGCCCGCAATGGTGCTGGCAACGCCTGTGAGAAGCATCAGCTTGTGAGTGGCTGTGCCAA